ACGCGTCCTCTGTACGTCGCATCTTGAACGAGGATTTAGTGTTCCATCCAAGTTTGTCAACAACTGTTGGCAGGGGATTATGCATAACGTGTTCATTTTGGACAGCTCATGATTGAACAGTTGGATAACGTAAGGACATGACGTTGTTTATGAGTGATAAAGCACATTTTCATTTACATGAATACGTCAATAAACAAAATTGTCGATATTGGTCTCCAGTAAACCCCCAACAGTTGCATGAGCACCACCTGCATACCCCGAAAGTTACAATTTGGTGCGCAGTATGCCCCACGATAAATATTGGCCCTTATTTTTTTGAGGATGATGGAGAAACAACTACAAGCAAGCCTCGGACCCTCGTCGATTTGAAGGAGGAATTAAGAAGAGAAGTAACCCAAATTCCTGCACGGATGTTGGCCGACGCAATGGGCTCATATGGCCGACATTTTGTTTTACTAAAAAAAATGGCATGTATTTCTGAGTATTTCATATAATAAAATATTTTTGCCATACTTATTTTGAGTGCACTACTCATTTAAATGCGTTCTTTCTGACGGACCATGTAGTTTGCTAATGCAGTGCAGTCATATACTGAGTGACAGAAAAAGGTAAACACATGTACATATGTTTATCCAATTTTAGTAATTTTTGGCATATATGTGTATGTTCAGTGTCCCTTACTAGTAAAATGATTAAATTTTCCGCTTGATTCGTCAACTGGCTGCAGAAGCCGGTTCAACAATGTGTTGAGGATCCACGATTTCTTATACACTCATTGACTCGCCTGGGCATAGTGCCGATAACGTGGTCGACATCTTGTTGTGGTATCTCATTCCAGGCTTCTGCAACGTCGTGAGTAAGAGCTGCTGAAGTCTGTGGAGGGTGCTGGAAATTCAAGAGTCTGCGACCTATCATATCCAGGACATGTTCAATTGGAGATAGTTCGGGCGATCGTGGTGGCCAAGGTAAACGGTTGATGCGATGTTGATCCATGAAGGCTAATGATACTCTGGCAACATGCGGTCTGGCATTCAAATCGGGTTTTGAATGGTGTTTAGGTATGGAATAAGATGAGGCTCCACTACTTCCTGAATATAGCGTCGGACTGTCATATTGCCTCTGATGAAAATTAGCGGCGATCTGCTACCATAAGCAATAGCACCACATACCAAACCTCCCACGGTGTTGTGAACGTGACTCTCTCTGTCAAATTGTGGGTCACGTCTTTCACCACGTCGCCTCCTCACTCTTTCGCAACCATCGTGCATCCCCAGACAGAAGCCGGTTTTGTCACTAAAGACCACCGGATTCCATTCCTGGTGCCCCAGAATTCTTTCTCTTCACCAGAGCAAACGGTTACGCCGATGTTCAGCTGTGGAGGTTGCACCCAATGTGGGCGATAAGAAAAAAGGCCAAACTATCGTATTCGACGATATACCGTACGCATACCAACCATCCTTCCATGCCTAGCATCTGATGAGGCCAAAGAAAATGTGAGAAAACCGACAATAATTGTACGCTCAAGAGGTGAATGAACAGCCCGTGTACAACGGGTGGACAAGAAGAAGCCTGTCGATTGAGAGTCAAGCACCGACTGGAGGCTAACCTCAGAAGACGAAGACAAACTGCAAACTGACTGACTCACGACTGACTGACTTCAGGCGACGTGGAAAGAGCGAAGGCTCAATAACCTTAATGCGGGGCTTAGGTCAAAACCCCCAGCGCAGGACCCCCAAGAAAGAGGCCGTTCATAATAGTCGAGAACCGACAGTTAGAGGAAATGTCCACCACGCGCTTACGCGACGTGTGCGCGATCGAGTCACTTTACGAAAGAAGGGCAAAATTAGGTGTTTACCTTTTCATGTCACTCAGTATTAGAAGGACATTCAACAGAAAACTGTAGTACCAGTGAAATGTACAAATGCTGTCCAAATTGTAAAAGTGCAAACCAGAATTTTAATCTAGGATTACCTATTAATCATGGACCATTTGACAAAAATTGTGAAGTATATAAAAGGAAAATTGAACGCGAGAGGGAAAAAATTAATTATGCAAATGAATAGCAACTACTAAGCTCAGATTTGCAAGACGTGGCTAAATCTGTAAGTGATGAATATAACTCAATATACCATTTAAACATACAAGGAGTCCTGAATAATATAGACGAAGTTCAACAATTTTTAAGATGGAGAAAACCACTTGTATTATGTCTTACCGAAACACATGCTACAGAAGACATCACTGATGGTGAATTACAAATTACTAATTATAAAACCTACAGATGCAACTCCAACTCCAGACATACTGGAGGTGTAGTGATTTATGTTTACCACAAAATACAGATCACATTATTCGATTGTACCACTTTAGACTATGCATACTGGTATGCACATATACAGTTCAAATTATTTGGGAAACGTTATGATCTTTGTACTTTTTACCGTTTACCAAACAGTGATGCAGATACATTTTTAACGTTTTTTGAAGAAAAATGCGAAGAAATGTGGAATTTTAGAAACAATATAATACTTTTAGGTGATTTTAATTTAAATTATTATGGTAAAAGCATGAAAACAAGAAAATTGAAAGAAACCATAAACAACTATGGGTTCAAGCAAAAAATTGAAGAGAGTACCAGAATAACATCATTGTCAGAGACTTTGTTAGATCTTGTTATTGTAAATTTCGAATGTGCAGGGATTAAAGCTGTACATACACCTAAGGTTAGCGATCACAGTTGGACAATGCTGCCCTTGGTAGGGCATTTTTCTGATACAAAAATTAAGAAAATCGTAAATGCTATTAAGTACGAAAAACTTGAACGAGAACTTGCTGGCTGCTATTGGAATTTTGGTGAGAATATGGAAAAATATATGATAACATAATAGGAAATATAAAAACTTGTTTAGATCTTGCAACTGATAAAAAAGTGATTTGCTCGACAAAAAATACACCCTGGTATAACAAGAATATTAAGGCAGCTCAAAATTTGAGAGACAAACAATAAAATAAATGTATATTCACAAAATCAAATGATGATTGGGAGGTATATAAAACTCTTAGGAATAAATGTGTATATGTAATTAGAGAAGAAAAAAGAAAATTCTACGACAAACAAATCGATAATAACAAGTGCGACAGTGTAAAGATGTGGAAGACTTTAAAAAGACTGATCAATTCGAAGCCGCATGATTGTGTAAATCAAGTTCAATTCTAAAACGGTACCGAAACAAATTCTTTGGTGATTGCAAACAAACTAAATGAATATTTTGTGGAAAGTATTGTTGATATTGTAGGTACTGCCAATGCTGCACCTGACTATATGAAAATCAGTTTCCAGGGGGAAATGCTGCATACACTTTCAAAATTTCACAGCGTATCATTGAATTATCTAAGAAAAAAAGTAAACAGTTTAAAATCAAATAACAACTGTGCCGAAATGACTACTAAAAACGTGCTGAAAAACTGTTTCGAAATTTTGGGATATCCTGTATCAAATTGGATCAATTGTTCACTGAGAAGCAGTTCTTTCCCTGAAAATTTGAAATGCTCTACAATAACACCAGTTCCCAAAATAAAAAATTCTAAAAGATGCAGCGATATGAGACCAGTAAATGTGTTACAGACATTGAAAAATTATTAGAGTCCATAGTGCATGACCAATTAATGCAGTTTATAGAAGAAAACAAAATTTTAGTGGAAGCGCAAGCTGGCTTTCGAAAAAAATATTCCACAGAAACAGCTTTCCAGTTGGTAACTGAGAATTGGAGAAGAGCCATAGACTCAGAAGAAGTTGTCATAGCAGTATTTTTGGATTTGAAGTGGGCATTTGAAACGATTGATAGAGATATTTTGTTAGGTAAATTGAAGGCATATGGTATATCAGAAAGTGTTTTAGATTGGTTTAGAAATTATTTATCTAAAAGGATGCAAGTTACAAAAGTTAATGACACTATTTCATCAAAAATTCAAAGTATGCTGAGTGTTCCACAGGGCAGTATCCTGGGACCACTTCTTTTTATTTTATTCATAAATGATTTACGTGCCATAGTCAAAAAATGCAAAATTCAGATTTTCGCCGATGACACTATGATTTATATAAGTACTAAAAATATTCAGTCAGGTATCTCTTATATAAATGAAGACTTGAAGCTTTTCTCAAAATGCTTAGCATCTAACAGACTAAAATTAAAGTAAACGAAAGCCTTGTTAATCGGAAAAGAACAATGTACAAATGTTCAACTGAATATTGATGGTGAAAATATTGAATTCGTAGAAAATTTTAAATACCTGGGAGTTTTTGTTGACTCTCGAATAATTTTTGATATTCATTATGAAAAAGTTATAAATAAGATTAGTAGTAAAGTGGGATATTTATCGAGAGTTTCTGGATGTCTGAGTTCATATAGCAGAAAAATTATCTATAATACCATCATATTTAGCAAATAATTCCATTTTTGAAAGACTGCAAATTTTACAAAATAAGTGCATGAGAATAATACTAAATAAAGATAAATATACTCCAATTAGGCAAATGCTTAGCAAATTAAAATGGCTCAATGTAAAAATTTTTATCAAATATCTTGTAATGACATTCATTTATAAAGTAAAAAATAATATATTTCCATCAAGTCTAACTAATTTAACATCATCAAATGTCGACCATCATTTACATAATACCAGAAATAAAGATGACTTCCATTTAATGACCAAAAAGTATAACATATGCTACAAATCTGTATTCCATCAAGGGTTGATTGAATATAATAGATTATACTCGGAGATAAAAGACCAGAAATCTTTGACAAAATTTAAAGTAAAATTGAGAAATCACTTATTAAATCTACAATTATAGGTTGCCCAGCATTTACATCATACACCATATGGCTTGAATTTACTAGTTCTAAGTTGTTTACAATTGTTCTGTTTATGTAGCCAAATGTGCTAAATAAATCTTTCTACTACTACTACTAGTATATGATACCTGAGGGAAACCTTACCGGAAATTTGGATCCCAATCGACTTCTTTATCTCCAAGTATGACAAACACTCGACCACCAACGGTTTTTACATTTTTCTGGATCACGTTTTCAGCAACAGGATCAATATAGTCATCCACGTCCTGGAAAAGTACGGGGGCCCCATACTTGATAGACATATCCAGGTGTTTTAAGAAGTCTGGATCATTGAAGCTAAGCACCTAAAGCAATTTAAAGCAGTTCAGAGTAGGTATCCACAAAATCAATTAGCGAAAACGATTAGAAAAATGGCAACTCTTAAAAATCAAAATCAATACAACTAAGTTCACATTCGCTTATCGTTTTTAATACAGGGTGCGGCAGAGAGGACGGACGTTTTTGGGATGGGTAGTACTCTCCGCCTCCGTCTACGAGAGAGGTGGGGAGGGTGCCGTTTGACTCGTGAGATCATGGCATTATTTTACCAGTTGTCGTTATGGAGCCGTGTTTTCGCCTATGATTGTTTCGTCCGAAATAATGAGTCAGTCATCGTCGTACAGCGTGAGTTTCGTCGCCACTTTAACATTCATCGGAATAGAGCTGTTCCCTCTCGAAACACCATCCTTCGTTGGGTTGAATCACTTCGCAGGCGTGGTGAACTGATCAACACAAGACCAAGAGGAGCGCCGCGAACAGTTCGAACTCCTGAAAATAATGAACGCGTTCGACAGGTCTTTCTTCGCAGTCCGACTCGATCTGCCCGGAAACATGCTGCTGCACTTCGCCTTAGTGATCGCTCGGTAAGCCGAATTTTGCATATGGATCTCTTCGAAGACGGTAATGGTCGTGATGTTACCGTGAACTCAGAGCGCTACGTCGACATGATCACCAAGTTCTTTCTCCCTGAATTACAACGGCGACGTGTTCCAATCCGACGTGTGTGGTTCCAGCAGGATGGGGTGACCGCCCACACAGCCCGAGCATCCATGGACGTTATTCGCCCTCCCTTCCCTGGTCGCATTATTTCCAGGTATGGCGATGTTCATTGGCCTCGTCGGTCCCCAGATTTATCCATATGCGATTTTTTCTTATGGGGACACCTCAAGGCGAACAAGCCCCGAACACTGCATCATCGATTTCGGCCACCACATGCCTGATGTGATTTTCCACACTTGACTGTCTCAAATGCTATTTCCTTGTGCACCTGATTCCGTCAATAAATTTGTTTTCGAGTAAAAACTAACTATTTTATGATTTTTTAAAACCGTCCAACCTCTCTGCCGCTCCCTGTATCACACTTTTATACTAAGTAAAGATATTCTTCATTTTTTTTTCAAAAAAGCGTTTTGGAGATAATCACATCTTTGTAAAATTTTCACGTTGTTGTGCGAAATTTCAATATTGTGCCTGAATACTTCCACCTTTACTTCCCGTCCTTACTTGCGGAGGAAGTATTGCAATCGCGACAAAGATCGAAAATGAGATATTATGTATGTTATATATGAATATCAACTACAGTATTTACAACACACCAGCGAAAAAAAACAAGAAGTACAGTGCATTGTTACTATAGTTGTAGTCACCGTTCTTGGCGGATCAAAGTAAGACTACCAGTATCTCTTTATATATCTCCATCTCCCTCATACATTCATATGAAACCTACCCCTAAATACGTTGGGTGTTCCACAGGGCAGTATCCTGGGACCACTTCTTTTTATTTTATACATAAATGATTTACCTGCCATAGTCAAAAAATGCAAAATTCAAATTTTCGCCGATGACACTATGATTTATATAAGTACTAAAAATATTCAGTCTGGTATCTCTTATATAAATGAAGACTTGAAGCTTGTCTCAAAATGGTTAGCATCTAACAGACTAAAATTAAATGCAAGTAAAAGGAAAGCCTTGTTAATCGGAAAAAACAATGTACAAATGTTCAACTGAATATTGATGGTGAAGATATTGAATTCGTAGAAAATTTTAAATACCTGGGGGTTTTTATTGACTCTCGATTAATTTTTGATATTCATTATGAAAAAGTTATAAATAAGATTAGTAGTAAAGTGGGATATTTATCGAGAGTTTCTGGATGTCTGAGTTCATATAGCAGAAAAATTATCTATAATACCATCATTCTTCCAAATTTCTTGTACTGTTCGACTATTCTATATTTAGCAAATAATTCCATTTTTGAAAGACTGCAAATTTTACAAAATAAGTGCATGAGAATAATACTAACTAAAGATAAATATACTCCAATTAGGCAAATGCTTAGCAAATTAAAATGGCTCAATGTAAAAAATTTTATCAAATATCTTGTAATGATATTCATTTATAAAGTAAAAAATAATATATTTCCATCAAGTCTAACTAATTTAACATCATCAAATGTCGACCATCATTTACATAATACCAGAAATAAAGATGACTTCCATTTAATGACCAAAAAGTATAACATATGCTACAAATCTGTATTCCATCAAGGGTTGATTGAATATAATAAATTATACTCGGAGATAAAAGACCAGAAAACTTTGACAAAATTTAAAGTAAAATTGAGAAGTCACTTGTTAAATCTACAATTATCGGTTGCCCAGCATTTACATCATACACCATATGGCTTGAATTTACTAGTTCTAAGTTGTTTACAATTGTTCTGTTTATGTAGCCAAATGTGCTAAATAAATCTTTCTACTACTACTATGTGTGAACGTTTGTTCGGTAAGCTCAAAGACGTTTTTTAGTTGTATGTCTCCGTTTCGAAAATTTTGTCGTTATGCATGAGTCCTCTTAAATCGTATTTGTCAGAGTGACGACTTACTTGACATCGGCGTGCAGTTTGAGTTGTTATGTTATCAATATTCAATATAAAAATGTATAATACCCGGAAATACGATCCATGAAGAAGAAGAGAATGAAAACAGTGGTCTCCTGTTACCCACCTGAACCGTACTGGAGAGAGTAGCAAATGCGCTGAAGATTAGTCTGCACCCATGGTACGGAGACTCGATCTGTTTACTTATTTGATATTTATTTATTTATTTATTTACTCATGTTTGGGGTGCAACAGAATGTGAATTCCAAAGACAGCACCCGCTGCTTACTATAGTGATAAAATAAAAAGATACATAGATTACAAAATCCAGAAGATGAAAATCTGTAACACAAGGCTACTATATGAGAATAAACAATACTATGATATAGCAACTACTAACGGGTGATTTTTTAACAGGTATAGGATTTGATTTTCAAACAAAACATAAAACATTTGAAAAAAACGATTAAATCTTTATTTGAGTCGATAGAATGGTCGATATAATTTAATGTTTAAAGATTATTTCATGTAAATGTTGGCCGCGGCTCCGCTTTAGATGGCCCATGCGCAAGGTCCAATTTTGGCACACTCTCTCCAACATATCGGCCGGTATCTCACGAATAAATGCTTCAATATTGGCTTCCAGTGCGTCAATCGTTGCTGGTTTGTTATCATCGCACGGTAGCGCTCGCCATTCACAGTTACGTTCCGGCCATTGTCGTCTTTGAAGAAGTACGGCCCGATGATGCCACCGGCCCATAATCCACACCAAACAGTGATTTTTTCGGGATGCATTGGTAGCTCTTGCAATGCTTCTAGTTGGTCTTCACTCCAGATGCGGCAATTTTGCTTGTTAACGTACCCATTCAACCAGAAAAGAGCTTCGTCGTTGAACACAATTTTTCGATACAAATGTGGATCTTCCTCCAACTTTGCCAGCGCCCATTCACCAAATGGGAAACGTTGTGGGAGGTCGTGTGGCTTCAATTCTTGCACCAGCTGTATCTTATAAGGTTTTACACCCAAATCCTGTTGCAAAATTTTCCACGTAGTGGAGTAACAGAGGCTCAATTGATTCGTACGGCGGCGAATCGATATTTTACGGTCATCACTAACACTGGCGGATACAGCCGCAATATTTTCTTCAGTCCTCAGTCTACGTCTGCATGTTGGTGGTTTAATGTCCAATAATGTAAACTGTGTTCGAAATTTAGCCACAAGCTTCCGAATAGTTCCCTCAGTAGGCCGACCAAATTGTCCATAAATTGGAAGCAGTGCTCGATGCACTCTCTTAACCGAGCATGAATTTTGATAGTAAAATTCAATAATTTGCAAGCGTTGTTCGTTCATAAGTCGATTCATGGTTAAATTATAGACCAAACTGAATAAGTTTGACAATGATACAAGACACGATTCACGCGTCATCTGTCGAAAACAGTGTTGCCAAAAAGATACTAGCAAAAAAATCACCCATTATAGAACGATATAAATTTAAAATTTATTTTTTTAAAAAATTAGCATGTATCTGTTACACTATTCCATGAATCGCACTAGTCACCAAAAAACACAAACACAGCACGTTACTAGACAGCTTTGATAATAAAACATATAAAATACTGTATAACAGTATTAATGGTTGACAACAGTATCACAGCAAACAAACAATTAGATAGTATGATACTATCCTATGTAAGCTGCCTCCTTACCGTTGCTTTAAACTTGTTAAAATTAACCACAAAAATGTCCAAATTTATAGAGGTACCGTTAAACACCCTCTGGGCCCTAATTACAGGTGAATTGACTCCTAAATTCGTTCTACAGAAGGGAATCCTGAATAACTTGGAATGGCGGTAGTTTCTATCTGGCACATTAATACTTATTTTTGAAAGCAAATAGGGACAGTCAAAATTGTTGTATATTTTGTATATAAGACACACGTCGGACATCATTCTTCTACTTTTTAAGGTCATGATATTGAAATGTTGTCTAATATGATCATAGTTTCCGTCACGTACCGGATTGCCGATTTTAAAACTTAATCTCTCCAGGAATCTATTTTGTACACTTTCAATTCGATTTATGTATGCAATATACTGAGGGTTCCATATAACGGAAGCAAAGGTCAACTTGAGATAAATATATGCATAATATAGGGATGTCATGGCTCTTGCACTCTTGAAATCCCTGCAGATTTTACAGATAAATCCCAACATTTTGTTTGATTCGCAAATCAAGTTTTCTATGTGTGGTTGGAAAGTCATTTTTGCATCTAGGAGGACTCCTAGGTCCTTCACTATATCCGTTTCCTTCAAAGGTGTATTTTTGATTTGGTACCGGTATTCTATGAGAGATTTGTTCCGGGAGAGTAATAAAAGTACATTTATCAGCATTTAGAAACAAATCATTATTGTCACAAAAATTGACAAAAGTGTCTATATCACTTTGGATTTCTTTACAGTCATTAATGTCTCTCACTGTATGGAATATTTTCAAGACATCGGCGTATAAAATACAATTTGCATATTTAAAGGATTTCTTTAAGTTGTTGATAAAAATTATAAATAATAAAGGACCTAGATGACTTCCTTGTGGGACGCCAGACGTAATTCCGTAACTGGCAGCGACTTGAAACCGTTGATAGCTATAATTTGCTTACGATTGGTAACGTAAGACCATATCCAATGACACAGTGCATCGTCGACACCAGTCTCAGCAAGCCTTTCAACCAGCAATTAATGATTTATTTATCAAAAGCCTTGCTGAAGTCGGTGTATATGCAATCGACTTGAGTCTTGCTATCTAGGGCTTCACAAATGTAATCAGTGTAACACAAAATATTAGATTCTAGGGAACGGTTTGGAAAAAATCCGTGCTGTTCGTCGATTACACTGATAAACAGCCAAAAAATATCCTAAATAAAATCAACAAAATATTACTATATTTAATATGCTAAAACCGGAATGAAACTTATTTTTTCAATATTAGTTCAAGTTTTAGAGATACGGTAATTATATGTGTTCCTGCTGTGACAGTGTTACTATACAGTAATTCACAAGAATGCACGTGCTACATTTTTATATTCGGCAAGGAAAGATGATGTAATCGGCATGATTGTGTTACGTTATACATACGTGTACATTATATTGTTTTATATTAGCCATTTTTTCCTCAGTTGGCTGACAGCGTTCATGCAAGATGTCTCGAAAGTGTGTAAACAATCCAGATCAGTTTTGTTACGTGTGTGGTGATGTGACTTTTGCGTCTCAGAGACGGTCTATTACTCCACTAATAACAAAGGCATATCAGCTTTATTTCGGTTGTAAACTAGGTGATCAAGACAAACAGTGGGCACCCCACATCTGCTGTAATGTGCTTCAAGTCTGAGGAGCTGGTTAAATGGCAAAAAACGGTCTATGCGCTTTGCTGTCCCAATGGTTTGGAGAGAGCCTACAAATCATATTAATGATTGTTACTTTTGCATGATACCTTGTGTTGGACAAGCAACAGATATGTCCAAGAAAAAAAAATCGGTTATTAACTACCCAAACATACCATCTGTGATGAGACCTGTGCCTCACAGTGACGAAAATCCTATTCCAAATTCCAAAACCCCCAGAATCCTACACTTGCGAGATTTAGAACTTCCAAAATGTAAGGCAGAGTTACTTGGATCAAGACTGCAGCAGTGGAACTTGTTAGAAGACGATGTTTCGGTATGTGTTTTTCGTAAACGCCACAAAGACTTAGAACCATTTTTCAATATGGAGAATAACTGGGTTTTCTGCATTAACGGCTTACTGGCGGCTTTAAATATAAACTATAACCCAGAAGAATGGAGATTGTTTATAGACAGTTCAACATTGAGTTTAAAGGCAGTGTTATTGCATATTGGAAATATTTTACCATCTCTTCCTGTAGGGTATGCAGTTCACATGAAAGAATCATATGACAATATGAAGTACCTATTGACATGCATAAAATACGATGAGCACCAATGGCATATTTGTGGCGATTTGAAACTAATTTTTTTATTTCATTGTCATTTTTGGATTCAGCGCCCCAAAATTAACAAAGAAGTGCACTTTTCCCACAAGATACAATTAAAAAGCTAAAATTTGTTGTCCAGTGTTATTATGTTTTTTACTGATGGAATTATTAGGTTGTAAACAACTTTTTCGAGCAACTTTGCAAAAGTGCACAGACCACTGATAGGTCTATAATTAGTTACCAGTTGTTTATCTCCATTTTTGAATATCGGAAGTATATGTGCAACCTTCCATCTAGTAGGAAAATAATAAATATATTAGTTTTAGAATTGCCTTAAATATAATCTGTAAAGGTACACATATACTTTCCGAACATCTTTTAATGAAAATGGGAGGGATGTTGTCGGGTCCTGAACCTTTGTTCTCGTCAATATTACAAATGAGATTTTTGACTGTCTCTAAAGGCAATGAGTATGAAATGCTATGATTTCCCTTCACTTTTGGAGGAACTAACTTTTTAGGTTCAACAAAAACGCTGGAATAATATTCCGAGACTAAGTTGCACACATTTTCACCATCACGAGCAATTTTATCTTTATATATAGTAAACTGTGCTGGGTATAGATTCGTGATTTTTCTTTTTGCTGGCAACATATTTCCAAAATTTTTTGCTGTTTAAAACTATTTCTTCTTCAATGTCTTTCACATAGTATCTGAAATCCTTAGCTAACATTTGTTTTGACTATTTCCTTAATTCACAGAATTCCTGATAGTAGCGAGGTTCTTTATAAGATCTGTATTGTTTATGAAATTTGTTTTTTTATTTGATCTTCTTGATCGTATCGTGCTTAAAATAAGAGGGAAAGTTCCCTCTTAGTTTAAATGTAGGTACGTTTGAGGCTATTGCTGAGTTTAGTTTTTCATAAAAGATATCAACCATTTTGTCCAAGCTATCGACATCGAACAACTTGACACAGTTTATATTGTTAAAAAATGAATTTGAGATAACAAGCTGAGCCTTTTGTTGGAATAAAAAAACTCGATAGCAGGATGATGATTATCCTCATTAACTAAACTATCGGCGGTATGCAATATATTTAAAATCACACCTTTATTGGAGAAAATTAGATCTAGCAATTTATTGTTGCAATTAGCTATTGAATTAAATTGTGCCATTTCTAGGTATGTAAGAGTATCGATGAGAGTGACATGTTTATCTTCTACTCCTTGAGGCTCCAAGTAGATGCAATTTTGTACTGGAACCCAATTTATAGATGATAAATTGAAATCACCTGTTATTAGAACCGAATATTTTCATTGTTCTGTAATTTACAATGAAAATATGTATGACTAGCTATGTCGTAAGGAGGCAAGTACACACAACAAATGAAAACAGTTTCACTATTCTTGGGACCAACTGATATCCACACATATATATGGCGTTGATGACGTAACCGTCAAGAACGATGACCACAACTATATTTTTGTGGAAAATTCAGCCCTGTCGAGGAAGTGAACACCTCAATTGTGTACAAAATGTGAAAGAACGCTGTTATGCTGTGATGCTTAGCTCTCACCTTCAAATTTGATTTCTCCTCTCGTTTCTTGATCCAATTAAGTGCTTGTTGTTGAGGGTCAATACAAAGTGGAAACCTTGAAGATCTAATTGTGAGAATGCCGTTTTGAACGGATAACTCGTCTGGAGGTAAATTTTCAGAGTTCCAAGTACTGATTTCCACGTCTGTAGTAAGGTTACTTTCAATTCTGTAGGGCTGGGATAACGGTATTTCCCTTTGCATTATATCATCTTGCCAACACTGGTATACCTGGAATAAAAATTCAATATTTTATGCATATATATCAACCGCGATATCCCACAGGGGACTGTTTTAGGCCCCATATTATTCATCTACATAAACGATTTCTTCTCAATAGATTCGGGGGATAGAGTGCTAGGATTCGCAGACGCTACTGTTATCATTTATGAAGCCTCAAACTGAGATGCACTAAAAACAATTCTGAAAACAACCTCAAAAATTTACTAGCATATCTTAACAGCAAATTGTTAACAGTCAACTATCCTTGTACCCATCGCGTCTTATAAGAATCATTTGCCTCCGTACACTGAAATTAACGTCAAAATAGCAAACAGTACTGTAACTATTGAACGTCAAAGCAGCGTTAAATACCTCGGAACTACATCAACTTTTTATTATATACAAATTGAGTATGTAACCAAGAAAATAAGGTGCCTTATGCTAAAGTTCAAGGACCTTACAAACGTGCTTAGCTTTGATTGTATGAAAGTCTCAACTTACGCATTTGTGCAGTCACATCTTTGCTATGGAGAAATTGGTTGGGGAGGAGCGGCATTCTCATGTTTAAGAAACTTGGAAATTGCTCAAAAATATGTATTAAAAATTATTTTTAACAAAAACCAAACTCATCCGTCTGACGAATTATATGATGAAACCGGAATGATGGACATAAAACAGATTTTTATCTATAATTCCATGGTGTATTACTGTAAAAATAAAACTTCTCATGAAAAAAATGATCCATAAATTTAACACCCGCCAGAAAGCGACTCTGCACCAAGTACCCAAGTCAGAAAAAACACTATTACAACGCTCTTGGGTTTATCTAGGCCCCAAGCTGTACAATGGAACAATACAAAATAATGGACTATTTAAAAAAATATTCAATTGTGGATAAAAACCATCCCTAGAAAAAAAATCCATGAGTAAATAGTTAGCAAAACGTTGTACATTCCTCTATACAGGGTGGCCCATCCATGTGTGGACAGAATATTACTCATAAACAAATACATTTTAAGGAAATCCATTAACGGAATCTTATACATGACATTTGAGGGCACATTTCTAAAATACTGGCCATTATACAGGTTATCCTAATTTCGACCTACTTATCAAAGTTGGGATTTTTCAAATGGAATGTCTTAAATTTTATTGCATATTTGGATAAACCAATTCAAAATAAGAATACTATGGGGTTTTGGTAATTAGATACTGAGGTGTTCTGTCTAGAAAAACCCCCCACTTCGGCAACCCCCCAGTTAACTATTTTGAAATTTGGAGTGCTGAATTTTGTATAAAAAAAAAACTAACACACCTCAGCTTTTATCTTATTTGTTACTTTTTAAGAGTTTTTACGGCTATTTTTTCGGTTATTAGCACGTCTTTTATGGAACAGCTTTATTCCCTAAAATATCGCATCATCCTTGGAAACAAATAAATTGTTGATTAGTTGCAAACTGTCAAAAAGCTACGTTAAGCAAGAGGTTTATAGATATCCACCATTGTAACGGTTTCACCGTCCGATCGTATTTATTAAATCACTTCTCGATTATCATTTCATTAATCCCATCTCTAGCTTTTTTGCTTGGAAAATTTTCCGCTTGGAGCGCTTGATGCGGAGTTCCTGATCTGCGATCTTCCTCGCGCTTCCTTTTCACCTGAGCTGCCGATCGAACAACGGCTAGAAATTTCTTCTCAGTAGCACAAGGTTATATAGCACCATGTGCTAGAATTTTCTAGGATGTGTGTCCGTATAGGACAAAAATGATTGGGGCCACCCCCTTTTCTCTTTCCCTTTCACTTTGCCTAGCCTTGGCCAATATTTTCACCCATGCATGTACCTTGGCAGCGCCATCGCCTTTAACTTCGCCTACAACTGGTTGTGAAGCCACTATATGGAGGTCACCCCTCATAACTGGGACCTCCCCTTCAAACCCCTGGCCATCCTGGCTTCAGTCGAGTAAAAATGGACCAGCGAAAGATAAGTCGATAGCGTTATAGCAGCGCCAAAGATGTAAAACTTATTTTGTTATTTTTGTAAAATTGTAATGTAATGAAAATGCCTTTTTTTTTGTTAAATAAAATCTGTTAAATTTTTGTGTTCTGTTTGTTCTTCTATCCTCTAGCCATGCCATGGTCGACACACAGCTACACGCCTGTAGATGTCTTCATGCCACCGACTGAGCTACCGGAAGCTAATTGTAACCCCCTTTCTGTGATTGTGCAGAAAAGTTGGAATCTTCATTGCATTCCATCTTTTCTGGACTTTTTGCGGAAAGGAAGCGTTACATAAATTGGCACCCGCAACGTGAGGCTTCGATAGGTGTTTGGCTTTGTCGACAAGTGGTTTGCTAGTGGAAGATTGGCAGACAGAACATAGTTTTCAAAATTCTTTACAATCTTTGGCAGCATTTCTATTTTTAATTGCTTTTGGTACTCAAATTTCTAATTCCTTAATCATCCTTACTTTTTGCTTAATGCTTAAAATTTTTATCAAAAGATTAAAATTTTTCCACCTGTTTATTTCATAGGCATACTATTAACTTTTAAATTGTCTTGTTTAGTAGTCAGCGAGATCATTGCCAGAATTTTTTTTCTCACATACTACTACAGTTTTTATTTACTGCTGGGGACAGTTATAACTTTTTTCTCATTAAACTTTTGAGATTGATGATATTTTGATATTTTTTTTTGTTGTTGAATATTGATAGTCTGGGGACTTTAGGTTTCCCAGCATTTTTGTCGAATATCATCAAACTTTTGATTGAGGTTGTGACTATTGTTGTTGATAGTTTACATATTCTTATATGCTTTTCATTTTTGATCACTAACCTCTTAGTTTTTGAAAGTATTTCTTCATGTGCAGTTTTTTTGATTTCTTGAGACTTTTCATGTATGCATATATAGCCTAATTGTTGGATCTCTGGTGTACTGATATAGCTCTCATGATGTTTGGTACGTAGGAAATTTACTTTCAAAATTATTTTTGCCTTCCCCAAATGTATTTACTTTTGAATTTTTGACTGTACTTGAACTTTTGATCAATTGTTTTCATTCTGATGGCAATAATCTACTGACTAGAGTTATCTGGAGTAAATCATTTTGCGATTTATCCATTTTTCTGAATTATATGAAATTGATATTCATAATTTTTCGTATATTTTGGCGGTTTACTTTTTTTCAAGTATTGACACTTGGACATAGTACTTTGATACTTACCTTTCTTTTTTTTCAAGAAACAAATGATGTTTTTCTTGACTATATTTTTGCTACTTGTCAATGGGGGGTGACTCCTAAATCATTTTTACCTATACAAAGACACACATACTCATTTATGGTAATTAAATGTCAACTTGTTGTTTAAATATATAGTATACGTTCCTCAGTAACTATTGTAGTAATTTTGTCTCTTGTTTGGAGCATAAGTTTTCAGAATTTTAATGTTTTATAGTTTTATCTGGCATATTCTTTTGGGGGAAATTAGAACATTAGTGTCTGATTTTCCACTGGATTAACAGGACTTGAACGTCTCTGTACTTTTTTAATGTATGACAGATATAAAATAATTTTTTTTAAGATTCGGCTGCTCCTGTTTTTGTATTGAAACTGTTTGTTTGTATTGTTAGTTTTTTATAGTGTTTTGGATCCTTTCATATTTCCGCTCAATCGAAGGGGGCGAGTTTTTCGATCTGTACATTGGAGCGAGTAGGTTTTCCTATATTTATTTCCTAGTACAGATGCGAACGGAGAAGAATTTCCTTTGATAATGAATAAACTTATTTGCTGTAAGAGGCAGCTGAATGTTTACTTTGGACATTTAACATCGTTGATCCTTCAACCTTTTGAAATATTACAATTTGTCCAATACTCATATTACCGCTCAATCGAAGGGGGCGAGTTTTTCGATCTGTACATTGGAGCGAGTAGGTTTTCCTATATTTATTTCCTAGTACAGATGCGAACGGAGAAGAATTTCCTTTGATAATGAATAAACTTATTTGCTGTAAGAGGCAGCTGAATGTTTACTTTGGACATTTAACATCGTTGATCCTTCAACCTTTTGAAATATTACAATTTGTCCAATACTCATATTACCGCTCAATCGAAGGGGGCGAGTTTTTCGGTCTGTACATTGGAGCGAGTAGGTTTTCCTATATTTATTTCCTAGTACAGATGCGAACGGAGAAGAATTTCCTTTGATAATGAATAAACTTATTTGCTGTAAGAGGCAGCTGAATGTTTACTTTCGACATTTAACATCGTTGATCCTTCAACCTTTTGAAATATTACAATCAGTCCAATACTCATTGTTCCGCTCAATCGAAGGGGGCGAGTTTTTCGATCTGTACATTGGAGCGAGTAGGTTTTCCTATATTTATTTCCAAGTACAGATGCGAACGGACAAGAATTTCCTTTGATAATTGTTAAGCTAATTTCCTGTAAAAGGCAGGTGAATGTTTACTTTGGACATTAGTCATCGTTGTTCTTTCAACCTTTTGAACCATTACGTCAGTCCACCATGTACAAAATTTACAAGTAATCATTATTTTTCTGATTCCAATTTAATGTGTATACTTCATCTTTTGAATATTTCATTTTTCTGAGTGTACTCAAATTTAAATTGCATTCCCGATCTAAATCATGTGACAAATACTGTGTATAATATTTTATAATGTTTTTATGCGTATATTTTCTGAATTTCCTTACTTACGTACTTCTATTTTGAAGTCTATTACTTTTGAAGTTTTTGATAGTATCCTCGTTTTGAATTCATTATAACTTTCTTCGAGAGCACAGACTTACATTGATTTTTGGTTCAAACTTTTGATGTTTGTTTACATATTTTTGAGTGGTTTTGAACTTTGACAGTATTTTGTAGTCTGGATAGTTACATAGATTCGTTGCGATGTATGCCTTGAGGGTCTTGTACTATCCACAGTTTCTTTAATTGAAAGTGTTTTCTTCATATGCATTTTATTTTCTTCTTGAGACTTGTCACATATGCTTTC